GTTGTGTGTGTGTGTGTGTGTGTGTGTGTACACACACACACACACGGAGTATACTTACTTGGCATCTGCAAGCATATGACTGTTGCCTCTAAGTGATATAGCTTGCTTTCAAAATTATTTGCACAGGAAAAAATGAGATATTTCCACATTTGTGAACATTTGCATGCATGCTGCATATGAACACATGCACACACACAAACACGTCAGTTTTGGGAGCTAATGTGTACTCCAGTCTTAAAAATGATTGCATACTTTTTTTAAATTTTCACTTTGAACAAGGAACAAAGAATAGATTCTCTGCAAAACATCAATATCTAACACATTTTTCAAACAGGTCTTGTAAATTCAATATGCCTGTGTAAACTGATGTAAACTTGATTGTTTTTTTTTTTTGCATACACAAAATTATTTTGTAACTTAAAATGGAAGCAGCTTTAAATAGATTAAAATAAAGTGTAAGCGTAAGTGTATCTAAACCTCCAAAATTTGGGGGGGGGGGGGGAGAAGGGGAGGGCACGGTGAGGGAGAATGCTACAGAACAAAGCTTTTTAATTCCTTTAGAAAAATACTAACCTGTTTTCTGAACTAGATGTAGAGGTACTAGATGATGACAATGTATGAGAATTTGACATGCGTGAGACAAACTTCTGGATGGTGTTACGAGATGGAGCTTTGATCCTTGAGCTACGCCTACTGTGATATTTCTGGAACAAACTCTCAACCTAACATTGGGAAAAGATAGTAACAGTAGTATTTATGCTATAAATACCTCACACATAAAAAGATGTTCTTGAGATTTCAATATTGATAATGAAATATATTTATATGTTTATAACACATTATTATTATTAAATTGTAATTGCAGCTGCAACAGCAGGGATTTCACTACGGTCTTGAGAATAAAATGGTTTGCAAGGAACAAACTAATTTACATAAAAATCATTAGGTCCATTTTTCTTTACTTTGTACAAAGATTGTGTGGCAGAAACTTGCTCAGCTTAATAATTTACTATTGAGACAACAGATAAATGATACACTACAGATGCTGATGAAAATATAAATTTAAATTAAAGTGGAAAAGAAAGTTTTATAGCATATTCACTGAACCAAAGATTTCTACTTTTCAGTTGCTCCTTTTATTGCAAAATTTTTTTTCTAATATTTAGATAGTTTCAAAAACTAACACCCAGAAACACTGGCTAAATTAAAAACTTGTAACTCTATTCCTTTAAAACTTGGTACAGTCTTCAGCCATTTTAAAAACATGCTCTAAAAATGCTGTAACTTTGTGTGTGTACTCACATCTGCTATTAAATACATCAGGAATTAATTACCTCAAAATTCTTCAAGGTCTTTCTCCAAAGCATTGGGTCTGGGGGTTCTAACTGGAACACTCGAAGCATGACAAACAGCAAATGAATACAAAATGTTCCACGCCCGCAACTGCATGTCTACAAAGAAACATATAGCAGATTTAGGGCCCTAGTGTGGCTTGATACTTAAACATGTGCACATTCTTCATTTAAGCACCTATATGGTCTAGTACTTTGCCCAGACAGTGAAAATACAAGACAATGAATGGATGTAGAGTGAAATTAAACTTCTAAAATGTGACTAATGCTTCTGTTCTTCATCAAGAAAGAAAGAAATGGGAAACAGCAAATTAACTACTTTTCTCCTGACACTTTTCCCCTCAGAGGCTGTAGTTACCATTCATATCAAGGGATCTTATGCACCTGATCCTCATATCACCCAGTATGAAGGCAATCAAGAAATTTTCTTCTGCCATTTATAGGCCTTTGCACCCTGTTCCAAGAACACACAAGTCTAGTTGTTCCCTACTGAATAGTCACACCATCATTAGGAGGGTCTATTTGGAGAAGATCCCATAGCAGGTATTAATACTATTATGAGACTGTTCAGAGAACTTTCATATGCATTTGTTCTACATTTACCAGTAAACAGTGTGTATATATATCCAGGAAGTGTAGACCATAAGACATAGCTATAAGAAATTAAAAGTGCCTCCTTGTAGTGGAAGATGGAGCAAAACAGAGAGTGGCAAAATTTCAGCCAAAATACTAGCTAGAAATGAATATCACATCCACTGAGGGAGTGTAAAATGGGTGAAAAATAAATGTGAAACACTAAATTTGCACATTATCAATGATTCCTCAGCTAAATTAAATGGATTTTTAAAAGAAAAGTGTTTGCTACAGACAACCTAATGTTTGAAATATAGCTGGCACATAATCATCATATGTACACAATACACCTTTTAAATGCTATTTCATAGGATAGCTAAATATCTAACTTTGTTTTATGAATTTATAACTTCATCTAACTTGGTTCTATACAATTTCCAAACTCTGTAAATAAAAAATATTGTAGGCATGCTAGGTGATTCCTACCTGAGGCCCAATGAACACCCTATACTTGTTATCAGGGCTGTCTCCTCCAATTAAGAAAGAATTAGGTCCTATCTGCTGCAACAGGTACAATCTGGCTCGCATAACTTTGTTGACACGACGATTTGTTTCCTCAGGGCTATATGGTGAGAAGCCATCTGGAGACGGAGCTCTTCGAGGTGGTGTTATTCTCCCACTTTGAAACTGCAACAAAATTGTTTCCAATATCAACTATTTCTCTCTTCACTATGAAATTATTACACAAGACTATTATTTGTTTGTTAAGCGACAAATATAAGCTCAACAATGCTCTCAGCACTGACCAGAACGCAAAATGAGAAAAAGTCCCTACCTTAAAGGGACTACAAGGATTATCAAGGTGCATTTATTTTCTTCCATGCTCAAATCCAGCAGACATCAGATGCAGCAAACATAGGAAGTTTTAAACAAGCTTGTTGAAATATTAACA